TGTTCTTTTCTCCCCTCACTTTTGTATTTTTCCTTCTCCACCCTCTGCTTCTCTGTCTTTTTCCCTTATTTTTTCTTGATCTTCTCATGTTCTCCTGTTGCTGACCCTGTGTTTGCCACCTCCCTTTTTCGTGACACCCCTTCTTTGTTTCCCTTTCCACTCCTTTGTCCACANGCTGTGAACGCACCGGTCATCCCTATATAGGATCCGAACCCGCGGCGGGAGCGCTGCTGCACTCCCAGCGCAGCACTCTCCCGAGTCCGCCACGGCTCGGCCCGAGAACAAGGATTTTGGAAGCAAGTCACCTGAGCTGGGTTCCCTGTCTTGCCCTTTGTTAGTAGATGTCCTTAAACACTTTCTGCCTTAGTTTCCTCATGGTAATATGAAGAATACTCCTCAGCCTACTTCTCAGGTTGATGTAGGATGAAAGATGATGTTTGTAGTGCCTGGCCCATAGTAGACACACCTTTTCCTCGTCCTCTGCTCCTTTCTCTTCCCATTTACATTGTCCTTTTCTGCTCTATTCTCCTTTTATCCCATCTGGGTCCATCACTGTTTCTTTCTTCCATTGCTCTTTCTCCTTCCTGACTCGAGGCCAGGAAAGTGCTTGAAGTGCTGGCATCTCAGACTGGGGTCTTGGGGTGACGCAGGCTTCATCTCTGCTGAGTAGCAAGGGACAGCTGGTACTGGCTGTGAACTAGGCATCAGGCCTCTCTTGGCTGAAGGAGTAGAGTGGCAGGAAGATAGAGAGATATGGAGAGTGGGTGCTCCATGCGGGTGAAGATGAGTCAGGCTCTGGGCTGCTGCCCTCCAGGCCCATGCGGATCTCCATGCCTCTGTCCAGGAATGAAATCACCCCATTCAGAGCCACCTCAGCATGCCAGGCCACTGTCACTTTGGCACCCCACTGGCCCCTTCCTGTCCTAGGCCTCTTTGTCTTTCTGTTCTGTTTTCCTTTTACCTGTTTTCCTTCCTTGGCATTTTTTTTTTTTTTTCTGGTGGCTGGCCAGGTGTGGGGATCTGAACCCTTGATCTTGATGTTACCAGCAGCATGCTCTACCGAGTGAGCTAACCGGCCAGCCCTTGCTTTCTTTCATTGGGATCCCCACTTTTTGTTCTCTGTCATCCCTGACCCCATTGTCCCTCCCTTCATCTCTCTAAGCTTCTTTCCTGCCTTTCTTTGCCCTCTAACCCACCGTCTCTTTTTGACCCTTTTTCTTGGTTCTTTTCTCCCCTCACTTTTGTATTTTTCCTTCTCCACCCTCTGCTTCTCTGTCTTTTTCCCTTTTTTTTTCTTGATCTTCTCATGTTCTCCTGTTGCTGACCCTGTGCTTGCCACCTCCCTTTTTCGTGACACCCCTTCTTTGTTTCCCTTTCCACTCCTTTGTCCACATTCCTTGTCTCTTTCCATGACTTCCTCCTCCCCCGCTTCAGCTCTCTCCTCCTCCTTCCTCCCCCTGGCCCTTCACTTCCCGACTCCAATCCTCTGTCCTCTTCCCAGCTGTGGGGGCCAGGACTGGGGAGCCTAATGTTTGCCTCATCGTTCTGCTATGGCTTCTGGATACAGCACATCTGGATTCCGTGGCCCAGATGTGTGGTTGCCACAGCGACCTGGGTCCCTCTGGTAAATACAGGCGCCCACCCACCCCAGAGCTGAGAACAAAACAATTGTGTGACTTCTTTTGTCACGAGATAGAAATGTCCTTTCTCCTCCCTTCTCCCCACACCCATGTCTCTGTCTCAGGGCAAAGGAAGTTTTAAGGGTCCAAATTCTTTCTATGCCTCTCGTGCCCCTTTTTCAGCCCTAGCCTCTTAGCTCTCTCCCATCTTTCATCTCAGATTCTGTCTTTTCTTTAGATGTTTTCCATCTCCCCACCCCTACCCCCCACACCCCCCAGTTCTCAATAATGGAATGTTGACCACCTCCCCTCACCCCCATCTTATGCAGTTTATTCTAACTGAATCTACACAATAACTGGATGCAGAAAGAAGTTTCAGAAATCCAGATTCTCTACTGTTCTGCAGGTCCTTCAAGAAACCACTTGATTTGTTTCTACCCTAAGTCCTCAATCCTTTCCCTTCCCAGAACTGCAGTTAGGGTGAGGGAGAGAACACAGGCTTTGGAATCAGAAGACCTGGGTGAGGCCCACCTTCACCGCTACTAGCCAAGTCCCTGGACAAGCAGTTAACATCTATGAGCCTCCTTTTCCTCAGCCACAAAATGGGATTAATAAAATGCCTGCACTGCGTAGGAAACTGTAAACGGAAGCCCAGTACAAATGTTTTCTATCTTCCCCTCTCTGGGACTGCTTCCTTGGATCGCAGCCTCTGGCCTCTCTTCATTCCCCTCTCTTTATCCGTCAGCTCCTTGCCCTCAATTGCCCTTATTCCTCTTTGTCGTCTTTCTTTTCTCCCTATCTTCCCTTTCCTTTTCTATGTCTTTTGTCCTTTAACTTCCTGAGGTGAGGACAGGAACTTGGAGGTTCATTCAAGGATGGGGACTAAGAGCTGAGGACACCTGGGTTAAGGATCCAGTGAGGGGCCAGAACATATGGACAGTTCTTGACAGCACTGTGACCTTTCTACCCACCACCCAAGAACCCTCAGTGAAGCCACCCAGCTCTGACCACTGGGATTCTCTGCCTTCGCACTTGTGGCTCCCTACACCATTTCCCCATCCTCTTCTCCCACTATTGACAAACATTTGTTGGGCATATGCACTATGCAAGGCTTGGTGCTTTTCTGACGAGATACAAATGTGTTTTAAGACGTGAGCTCCTCCATGAGCCTCAGATCCAGGGGTTGAATCAAATTTTAGACAATGATTATTTCAGAACCTGTAACTATGCCTGTCAAGCTCGCAGTGGCTTCCCCACATGCCTTGTAAGCTTGTAAACATCTGGAATCCTGCATTCCTCTCTGCGACCCCAGCAGTGAGCTTCCAAAACATGCCAGAGCATCTTTTGGTTCCAGGGTCTCCTGGCCACTCTGGGACAAATATACTTAAGGTGACCATACTTACTAAATAATAAAACCAAGGCACGGGGCATAAAAAGAAAATGGATATGACCATAGAGCAGAAATCTGAAATCTGAGGGTGTCAGAAAAAATCCATACTCTGTGCAGTCTGCTGTCTCTGTGTAATGCTGTTTCAAGACCCTCCCTTATCCTTTCATCTACTGCCCCACTCCCCATCCCCTGCAGGGAGATCCGAGGGGAGCTGTTACCCACTTCTGGCTCTGGGGGCATCAGGCCAAGGC